AGTTAAAGAAAAGATGGATGGAGCAAAAATATATAGATTTTTTTTTTTTTGAGGAACTTGTTGGAGTAAGACTGGGATTGAGGTCCACCTTCCATTAGGACTATGACCCTAAACACACAGCTGAAGAACATCCCACTGGTTTAAGGAGAACATAAAGGTCCTGGATTAGTCCAGTCCAAGTCCAGACTTGAGTCCACATGAGAATCTCTGGTTTGATTTAAAGATTGTTGGACACAAGCAGCAGCATCCAACATTGATGAGCTGCAGCTGTTTGGTCCTGAAGAACAGACATTAAGTCCAGGATAGATAAAACAAGATCAAGGAGAGAGACTTGAACGTTGTTAGGAAACAAAACACAAGGTTATGCAACCTATTCTTGAGTAGGTTGGGAGTTTTGGAACATAATCCATCCATCCATCCATTTTCTTCACCCGCTTATTCCATTTTGGGTCACGGGGGTCACTGGTGCCCATGTCCAGCAATCACTGTGCGAGGGGCGGGGGACACCCTGGACAGGTCTCCAGTCCATCACAGGGCCACATAGAGACAAACGAGACAAACAACCATTCACTCTCTCACTCACACCTAGGGACAATTTAGAGTTACCAATCAGCCTAACATGCATGTTTTTGGTCTGTGGGAGGAAACTGGAGTACCTGGAGAAAACCCACGCATGCACGGAGAGAACATGCAAACTCCACCCAGAAAGGCCCCTGGACCGGGGTTTGAACCAGGGACCTGCTCGCTGAGAGGCAGCAGCTCTACCAGTTGTGCCACGTGCTGCCAGCTAAACTTTATTATTTATTTTATTTTTTCAGGTATTTTTTAATCTGTTAGTTACAAAACATTTTTTTGATTGTCCATTTTTGACGCCCAAAAGGGTCGTAACTAATTAGTTTAATTTTTCACACTTAAAGACTTTTCCGTCGTCTCTTTCTTGGTCTAGTCTACCCGAGGTAGTGAAAGTATTTGTGATTAACTACATTAAATAAATTGGCCACGACACACTTGAAAAAATACTTGTGTGAATAAATGACACTATGTAGTTTTGAACTGCGCATGCACAGTTTGTTTCATGTTTGGACTGAACGAGTGTGAACACAGACATCATAGATAAATACTAGATACAGCAGTGACCGCCGTAGGGCCGCCATCTTGGAACGGTCGCCCGCTCCACTCAGTGTATGGTATGGTATGGTATGGTATGAAGTTTATTCATTTTAAAAAAAGTACAAAACAATTCCATAACAATATATAAAAAGATATAAAAAAGTTTAAAATGAAAGGCAGCAGAAAGAAGAAAAAATCTTATTATATCTGCCCCTTTTTTCAAACAATTATTTCAGACATATTAATTTTCAAGTAACAGAACAGTGTGACCTGGTTGTCAGGAGCAATGAAGTATCTGCGCGTTTAATCCGTCATAATAATTTTCTTATATACACACACATTATAATATCGCAATCTTACATTATATCAATTTTATATATACACATCTCATGTATATATATATATATATA